CGTGACCGCGTCGCCGAACTGATCGTTTCGACCTCAGTCTTGTGCCGCCGTGCACCTCTATCGTGCTCTGGTCAAGCCCCAAATCTGTGCATCTCTTTCTACTATTCTAATGAACGACTGGGGAGCGATGACATGCACCAGTTTTGAAACAGGACATCCTGATTCCCCTCCACCCACGATCACCCACACATTATCAGACGCCTGGGAACCCAGCGCACGACATGGATATAGATCGTGTCTGCAGATCAGCATGACGCCCAGATTTTCCCCTCTGTTTCGCCGAGATGCTTATGCAGGCGGATGCCTACCACGGTCTTTGCAGTCACCGTGTCCAGTACTCACGCATCTTCTGTCGCTGTCAGTGTCAGTCCTGAGTCCGGGCGCCGAGTTTCTGTGAATCGTCGCACGGCGCTGCTTCGACCGCACCTGCTGACCACACTCACGGCACCACAGCTCGGGACATTCGTTTCGTTTCATTCGTCAAAAATAACAATTCGTGGTGTGTGTTGTTGTTGTTGTGTGAGGTGAGTATAGATATAATGTACGGTACGGTACCAGAGAGTAATTGGGCGGGGGGATGTATGCTGGTGTACAGGCCTGCGTTCATCTGCGGGCAGTATTCAATTTGAGGAGCGAGAGAAGGGCGATGATGTGTTTGGACACCCACGCCTTGACTTGAGCCAACAGCGATACGGGGACCGCAGCGACGCTCAGGGAATTAGAGCCCTTGGAAAGCGTGCTGGCGGTGCTCATCGCATCAGTAGCCAGCTGCTTTAGGGTGGGCGGCTCCGGCGTCAGACGTTCAGTGAACCACTGCGACGGAATCACCGTCAGTCTGAGCAAAGCGAGGTAAAGATGTGTGGTTGGGTAGTGCTTACTTGGGCAACGAAGCCGGCAGATTCCTTGGGTATCCGCTCCTGGGTCTCGTAGTCGACATAGACAACACCGAACCGTGTAACATAGCCATCGGCCCTGCGCGGGTCAGATTTCCGATCGGTGCTCAGTAGCCAAGGACATTACCATTCGAAGTTGTCAAGCAAACCTGACAGAGCGTCAGCAAAACGCGGAACGTTCCGAAACCACACTCACTCCAGGCCAGATAGCAGCGCACGTCGACCCCATCGTCGTGGATCGCAGATTGCAGAGACGCAGTGACACCCCGGTAATAGTTGACCCGGTCAGTATCTTTTATAGCCTCCTCCCTGGTTTTGAAGCTCTCATTCTTGACCGCAAAACCATTCTCCGTGACATAAAGTGGCGTGCGGTACCTCTGAAACAAACATGAGATTGTAGTCAAGGGCCAGCTGATGCCAGCACACTCGCCTTCCATAGGTAGTTCAGAAGAGCCCGGAATCCCTGGGGATCTGAGCATCGCTCAGCGGTGTGCAAACTCGGGCAGAAGATATAAGAAGCATACAGTCTTGGAGCCATGCACAGTGGGCTGGGAGCGTGTCAGCGCATGTGAACGGCGTGGCACTGCTGGATGTACGCACCTTGGGTCCCGAGTTGGGTGCCGTCAGGACGCGTGAAGGTGTAGTCGACCAGGCCCTGGAACTCGTCATCTCCACCGGCACGGCAGAGATTGGTCGTATATGTGTTCATCCCGTAAAAGTCAGATGACCCTTTAACGACCAGGAGCTCAGCGGGAGTAAACTGGGGAAGACGGTTTCCGAGGACTTGCTGCATGTATGCTGGATAGTGCCCGAGATAGATGGGATCCTGCGTTCAGTCAGTCAGTCACTCGGTGGATATTGCGCCAAAGACAGATCACGCACAGCAAACCAGCCTGGATGCAGAAACGTCGGAAGTCAGCATGAGCAGGTGATCAATCGGCGCCACCTACCAATAGCAAAGTCGAGCGCGTGTTGTGCAGCATCAACGTCTGCGTGGGACCGTCAGTAACAATGATATTACAGATCCCCCTCCCCTTCTGCGCAAGGCTTCACTCACTTTCCGGCGAGTCGTCGTACGGCATTTGCCAATCCCCATTCAGCGTGATCCCGATTTGCCCCCCTTGCACGGCTTTGTATTCCTCCCGGTACAGCTTGGCCGCATACGCATGGGCAATGATGACGCTGTGTCCCACACTGCAAAGTCTCAATTCGAGAATCGTGCGCGGCGAGGCAACAGCACTCACATCCACGGCTCCGTCGACGAGTCACCTTCTGGGGACCGAGTCCTGTCGCTCGAGCGACCGGGTGCAAAGACACCTCGTCCGTAGCCCAGGATCGAGATGCACCAAGGTTCGTTCATTGTGAGCCTACATTCATCAGTCAGCGGATGCCACAAGGCCTGGAGCGGAAAAGTTCCACCAGTGCTTCACGCGGTCGCCGAAGGCCTCGAAACAAACCTTGCGATCGCGCAGTAAGAAACGGACCTGTTGGGAATCGAGATGCGGACATACCCGTGCATAGTTGACATAGTCCTTGACGATCTCGTCCTTGTTGAGCCATCCGCCGTACCGGTCGTGCAGGTTCTGGGGAAGATCCCAATGGTACAATGTCTGCGGGAGCACAAAATGAGAGGCGCGTCAGAAAGAAGAGCTCGTCGCACGCACCACAAACGGCACGATACCGTGCGCGAGCAGCGCGTCAATCAGCTTGGAGTAGAACTCGATTCCCTTGGGGTTCACGGGATCGTCCCGTCCGCCGAGCGGGATGATGCGCGACCAGGCCAGGGAGAACCGGTACGTTTTCACGCCGTGCTGCGCCAGAATCGCGACGTCCTGCTCCCAGCGGTTGTACGAGTCCGTCGCCATGTCGCCATTCCGCCCGTCCGACGTCTTCCCCGGCGTGCGCGAGAACTCGTCCCAGATGGAGGGGCCCCGCCCGTCGACGTCCGTCGAGCCTTCGATCTGGAAACTCGCTATCAAGGCAGGTAAGTCCCAGTGCGTGGATGACGCGTCCCCCCGCGCGTCTCCTGCGCGAATGCATTGCTGGTAATCGGCCCTTGACCCCGGGGTTTACAATCTCGGTGGGAAGAAGGGACTGACCCGTGGCAAAACCCCACAGAAAGTCGGCGGGCAGCTTGCGGATTGCGGGAGCGGCCATGGTGCTGGATATGGAAATCGACGATGTCGGTTTGCGGAGACTGTCGCGCAGGAGGTGGCGGACGAACAGAGTGCGGAACGAGAGCTAGGGCAGCTTCGAGTGGCACGAGAGCAGGCGCAGATGAGGATATGCTTTTTCGCCGCACTGGATGTACGCACATAATCAACCGCGGGAACTAGCCAACCAATCGATACCAGTGATGGCAGAGAGGAGTCGGACTGAATGGAGGCAGACAGTCGTAGTGGACATGGGCGAGGGCTGTCTTAAGAGACGGAGAAATGAACAGCACTGATCAACGCGTTCCTCCGACATTCCTCCGGCCGTAATGTGCTTCTCGCCTTCATGCAGACGCCACACGTTGTGGGGATATTTCCGGGCAGGTTCGCCTCACGCGTAGATCACGTCGTGGCTCCGTCTCTAGGCTACGTGCCGATGGTGTGCTGGGAGTGGGATGCGGACATTCTTCGGCGTCTCTCCCCACATCGGCTGACCGGTCCGAGCCGGTTGATTTTGATGCCAGACGTCGGCTGTCCGCGGTTTTGTGGGGAAAGTCGATTCTTTGCGTACTTCCGACTCCATCTTGAGGCGCACTCAACGCAATTCCAACCGCTTTCTGCCTCTATCCGACCAGTCGCCAGATTCCCGTCTCTTTTTGAATTTCACACGTTCCTGAGCTCGTGTGTGCGCCGGGGCCTGCCAAGCTTCTTCCGGCCTGTGAATCAAGCCCAACAAATGAGATGCACATAAATAGACCCGTGCCAAAAAGACTCAGACAGATCCGGTGGCCTCCGGTGGGCTGCCGGATCTGTGACAAGCATCACCAATGCGCCGCGATGTGGGTTCATTATATATCCGATATGGACATACAGGTCACTTTGAACAAAACTACGCAATGCGCTTCCTTGGATAATGAGAAACCGTCTCGGCGGCTCCGACCGGAGGGATTTAATGGGGTGATTCGGAAGTCGCCGCTCGGACCGCAGGAAGAAGGGCGCGGTGGCTCAGTGTCTGCGAGTTTCTCCGGACGGCCCCCCTGCTAACGCCTGTCGTCCGAAGTAGCAGTAGCAGCAGCAGCAAGCGAGGTGTGCTGAAAGACACAGCTGTGCTTACCTCACTCCTCCGGGTCTTCGGTGCCCGAGATTTCGCCTAAAGCCTCTATGCTCCATGCACGACTCGTAACCCTTACAGCATGTGTTGGATCAGGCACGAGGGGGTTTGTCGATTCGGGGGTCAGTTCTGGTGCGCCCCTCGTACAGTCTCTTCAGCAGATTTTCCCCGTCTATCGTAGCGCATTGTTCTTGATTTATGTGATCACGAGTTACGCTGGAAGGACAGAGACAGTTTTGCGCGATTGAGTCTTGGCCTGGGGGATACCGGAAACAATCTCGATAACAGACAGAATGAATTATGAAGAGATCAACCGGTTGCAAACGGAGTGACGGAGCGGATGAAGGCCTTGGACTTACCTCAGACTTCTCCAACTGGAAAGGGACAAGAAACACGTGACCGCGTTAAGCGCGCGTGAAAAAGTCACATTCGTATTTCAAGAGGCCGACGTGTAGCTAGTAAGTTGACCTAACAGTATTCAAACTCCACAAGACGTGAACGATAGCTAGAGCCCGCAGGTCCTCAGGAGGTTAGAACTCGGAGTTTTTTTTACTCCACGAGGGGTGGAGGCCGAGGAGCGATCTTTCATGATCCCTGGTTTTCCGTGAGTAAGTTGACAGAAATTTGAGTTCTCAATCATGATCTCAATAATAAAGAGCCAAGGTCTTGACCCCATGAATTGTGGCTTTGAAACGACACCGGTCGAGCTCCTACGGTACGTGATCTTCAGATCTCACGATCCAGAACAATACCAACTGTTCTCAACTATTGACAAAGCACTGACGGAAGGGGCAAAGGCAACATACGATACAGGATACCTGCAATTGTTGTAGTGATCGATTATCTCCACCATGTGGCATCTGAAGACGATGCCAAACACTCCGCAACAATTACGCTCCTTCAAAGTTGGACGCACGCTGCAGGCAATAGCGTGCCCATGGGCCAACGTCGTCCGTCTGGCGAGAGCAGTTCAAAGTCGGGCAAGCAGCCGATGTATCAAAAACGGGCGACCTTTATCACCGGTACGTTAGGTCAGCTGCGGGAACTCGCCCTCTGCAACTGATTTGCTGTTGCAGGAGACAGCCCAGGGAGGGAGTGGCACAGGGACGACTCTCCGTACTCCCCGGAGCGCGACGAGCGGATGTACTCTCCACAACAACAACAACAGCACTATCGCTTCTCTCCCCCGGCCCATCACCCACACTACCCACCTTCAGCTGATTCGCGGGCAAGCCCGTACGCGCGTTCGCCCCAGAACGACAGCATGCTCCTAAACGGAACACACTTCTCGGACGACGCAGGACTGGACGGAGAGGTGGCGGTGGATCCGGCTACGCCGCCGCTGGCGTACTGGTCGTCGAAGCGGCATACGAGTTGTGGGAACCCGACCCCACCACCACCCTGGTCGGCGAAGACCATACCCTGGCGCGGCAATGGGGCGCCCGGGAGACTCAAAACCGCCAACGCCGCGCTTGTGCTCTGCCTCAACATCGACGTCGACCCTCCGGACGTGGTCAAGACGAACCCGTGTGCGGTGCTAGAGGCCTGGGTCGACCCACACACGATGCCATCGCAAAAGGCGATGGAGGTCATTGCGGCGAACTTGAAGCTTCAGTTCGAGGGGTTGAGTCTCAAGCTGATGTACAAGGCGGTCCAGGATCCATCCTACGACGATCTGTGGCGGACTTGTCAAACTCTGCGCAAACAGGCCAAGGAAGACGCGGTCTTGTTCCACTACAATGGGCACGGGGTACCGAAGCCTACAGCGAGTGGAGAGCTGTGGTGCTTCAACCGGGACTACACCCAGTACATCCCCGTTTCGTTGAACGAAATACAAAGCTGGCTCGGCTCTCCGGCTATCTACATCTGGGATTGTTCGGCCGCGGGCCATCTGCTGAGCAACTTCAACACGTTCGCCGAACGCCGAGACCTCGACGCGAGAGTGATGCATGGGGGTCCATTGGACGGATCTCAGCCGTTCACTCATTCGCTGCAGCTTGCGGCATGTGCTGCCTACGAGCAACTGCCGTCGTGCCCCGAGCTTCCCGCGGATCTTTTCACCTCGTGCTTGACGTCCCCCATCGATATGGCCCTCCGATACTTCATCATGCATCACCAGCTGCCGAGCAATATAACGGCAGATATGGTCATGCAGCTCCCCGGTGACCTGAAGGACAGGAAGACACCCCTCGGCGAGCTGAACTGGATATTCACGGCCATCACGGACACCATCGCATGGACCACCTTTTCGCGCGAGACTTTCACCAAACTCTACCGATGTGATCTTCTCATTGCGTCTCTCTTCCGGAACTTCCTTCTCGCCGAACGGATTATGAAGAATTACCAATGCACGCCCCACACCGAACCCCCTCTGCCACCAACCAATACGCATCCCCTTTGGGCTACCTGGGACCTTGCCGTCGATGCGTGCTTGCGTCAACTTCCCGATCTGCTCTCCAAACGTGATTCAAATACCGTCGTCCTCGACTCGACCGTGACAGTCACATCACGACCAGGTCGCATCGGGCAGAACTCGAAGGCCACTGCAGACAAGGGCTATAATTATACTCCCAGCCGATTCTTCGCCGACCAGCTGACCGCCTTCGAGGTATGGATTTCTCGCGGGGGGGCTGCACTCACCAAACGAGGGCCCATGTCATTGCCTGCATCTGCAGAGTTGGACGAAAACGTCAATCCGCTGTCTGAGACGGAGCCCGTGAAGGAGTCGCATCTCGTTCCGCGAAAGCCGCCAGACCAGTTGCCGATAGTGCTGCAGGTCCTGCTCTGCCAGCCCCATCGGCTGCGTGCTCTGATTCTCCTGTCCCAATTCGTCGATCTCGGACCGTGGGCTGTCCACTTGGTACTCACCATTGGCATCTTCCCGTACATCAGCAAGCTGTTACAGGCTGCCGGCCCCGATCTTCGGCCCGTCCTGATCTTCATCTGGGCTCGCATTCTTGCTGTCGATCCGAGCGTGCAGGTCGACCTGGTCAACTCGACGGGCTATAAATACTTTTCGAATATCCTCGGGGCACGAGATGAGCCGTCCTTCAAGAATGTCTCAGAACACAAGGCCATGTGCGCTTTCATTTTGGCCTCCGCGGCGCGTGACTACCGACCAGGCAAGTGGGGATACGATCTCAGGGCTGTTTACTGACCCGATCGATAGGCCAGGATGCGTGCGTGAGTGCCCGGGTACTCAATTTCTGCTTCGAGAAGCTGGACGAGCCAGACTTTCTGCTACGACAATGGAGCGCCTTGTGCATCGCCCAGCTGTGGGAAAGCCACGACGAGCATCGTGCTGGGGCGGTGCAGCAGGATATGACGACCAAATTCATTCAGCTGCTTTCCGACGACTCGGTCGAAGTTCGATGTGCATCGCTGTACGCGCTGGGCACTTTCATGGGCGCCAGCGGATCGTCGAACCCCGATAAACGTGGCGGCGGGGCTAGTGGACGGATGGCCATCTTCGAATCCAAGATAGACCACTTCAAGAGCGAAGTGGCGCTTGTGACTGGGATCACCCTCGCGGTCAAAGACGACGCGAGTCCCATGTGCCGCAAGGAGATGATCGTTGTCCTGAGCTGTCTCGTGAAGGAATATCGCGGATATTTCGTCGTCTGTGCATGGATCTATTATGAAGAGGACCGCCATCGGATGGAGGGCAAACTTTCGACAGTGACAGACGAGGCTGTCAAAGACTGGTTGGCCCAGTTCCCGGTGTCGGAACAGAATGAGAAGCGGGTCTATCTGTCTTCCTTCTTCACGCTGTTCGTCATCCTGCTCGACCTGTCTGTCGACCCGTACCACGAAGTGGCGACGAATGCACAGACCGTGCTCGACTACATCATCGCCCTTCTGCTCGATTCGCCCTTCGCGCGGATATCGCCCTCGATCCACTTCCCTCTGGCATTCTCCGGAAGCCGCAAGCGCACGAACTCACACGCTTCGACGGTGTCTGGATCCCCGATGGTACCCCCGCTGTCTCCTGTCCCGCGCCCGGCGCTGTCTCGAGCGGATACCATGACGAGCACGATCTCGAACGGCGTGACCAATACGCTGCGGCGCACGTCCTCGTTTGCCAGTGCGCTCAAGTCTCTGGTCGCGTTTCCATCCTCCGAAGAAACCTTGCATGAGCCGGTCGAACCCCCACCACCCGGCGCCGTCTCCCGCCCCCCCTCGCCGACGCTGAATCTGGCCAAGTATGCGTCGCCGTACGCGGAAGGCTATGCACCAGCGGACCAGAACTGGAGCGCACCGCCGTCGCCGCGGTTCAGCGACGCAGCATCCGACGTGACGTTCCACGCGTGGAACGTGATCGAGGCGCTCGTCGAGGAGGACATGGAGCGGCTCAGGGCACGGCGCAGGACGGGCCCTGGGCGGCGGGGCCACTCGCACGGCGGGCCGGGGGCGAGCCCGAGCAGCAGCTTCTCGTCGATGGACTCGACGGCGAGCAGCGTCATTTTGGGGCTGGGGACCGGGACTGGGATGGCTGATGTGTTGCCGCTGAAGAGCACGTATTTCGATTGGTGCACCGAGTACTTTACCGAGCCGCAGATGAGGGTGTGTTCTTTCTCTTGCTTTTGTCATTTGGGTGTCTTACTTTTCGGTTGCAGCAAGCGGAAGCTGACGAGCCGGGGAGCATTCAGTACAACTACCAGATGTGGAGACTGAGTCGCAACGATCTCCTGATCGACCAGACGCGGAGACACATCGATGTTGCCGGTGCGTAGTCATGCGCTTGCGTGGTCATGAGTTTCTCTCACTTATTCTTACACGCAGAAACGAGCAAGTGGAACAAGGTGGTCAGATCGCTGCCTGTTTCAGGACATCCTACAACGATCAAATTCCATTCCTACGACAAACACCTGTTCGTCGCAGACTCGACCGATGTCGTGAGCATCTGGGACTGGTCGCAGAAGGACCGCTCGCACATCTGCTCGTTCAGCAACGGTGATCCGGCGGGTGTGCGCATCACTGCGCTAGATATCATCAACCAGGACATGGGCGGGATCATTCTCACTGGCTCGTGTGAGTTGTTCACCTGTATGCCTTTGCGGTAGATGCTGAATTCACAATCTGCAGCGGATGGCATGATTCGGCTGTACCGGAACTACGACCCCACAGTCGACCAAGGGCCTGTCCAGATGGTTAGCGCGTTCCGCGGGCTCAGCGATGTTGTGCCGGTGCACAATGGAGCGGGGCTCGCCATGAATTGGAAGCAGTCGACGGGGATCCTCCTCGCTGGTGGCGACTCGCGGATTATCAAAGTCTGGGATGCGCAGACTGAGACGCCCGTACTGGTAAGTGGATGCGACGGTCTGTTCTGCGCGGATTCTCACGACTCGCGCAGGATCTCGAAACGGCTTCTGGCAGCCCGGTGACCTCCATCGCATGTGAGCAGGCACCGACGATGCAGGCGTTCCTGGCAGGTTTCGGCAACGGCGAAGTCAAGCTGTTCGACCCGCGGCTCGAGGAGGACGCGTGTGTCGTGGCGACCTTCAACGAGCACGAGTCGTGGGTGCAGAACATCCGGCCGTATGCGGGGTCGCCGATGCAGTTCCTGTCCGCGAGCCTGGACGGGAAGGTGAAGCTGTGGGACCTGCGCAACTTCTCGCAGTCGCTGCCGCTGCCGCGCCTGTCCAGCTTCACGCAGGAGATCCACGCGGACGGGCTAGCTGCGTTCGACGCGCACTCGACCGCGCGGGTGTATGCGAGCACGTCGGCTGTGATGCCCTGGTCGTGGAAGACGCAGCGGCTGACGGTGTTCAATGCCGAGCAGGAGCTGTCCAGCATGCAGATCCCCACGGGTCTCGCGGGCCCCCCGCCGCGGAACCTGATCACGTCCAGACTGTGTGGGCTGGTGTTCCATCCGCTTGAGATGGTCTGTGCGGTCAGCGGCCCCGAGGGCAACGTTAGAGTTATTGGGTGTAACTTTGAGAAAGTATAGTATCTGTATGTCGAGTAATTTCTTGCTTTTGTATGATAGGCGTAAGTACGTAGAGTTGGAGGCAAGGCTTGCTTTTTTTCCTGCTGTGACCGAGTGCAAGATGAACGTCGGAAGCTTGGTGATTAGCAGGGAGTTTGATGTTTTCAGCACGAGGGGATCGTGGAACCGGATTGATTGTACACTTGGATGAAGAGATTATATGCGCGTACTCATTCGTCGGCGTTCTGTGACTGCGTGCGGTGGACTCTGGACGTCACTTCAATAGACGAGAACCGGCGCCGCTGTGTCAGCCGTCGTTCCCGAGTGCACGAGTCACGAAGCACAGATTTCTTCCGGAGGGGCCATGTACCGCCCACGGCGAGATCGACTGTTCCCAGGTAGCGCGCTTGATAGTCGTTTCGTGTCGGCTTGATTCACGTTCTGCCTCACGACGTTCATTGAGGCGTGGGCGCAGGGAAAGACCGCAACTGTCCACCGGAAACCGAACTCCGCAAGAACTCCGCTCCAGTGCGCGCGAGGGATCGGGGTACACTCGAACTGGGCAACCCAGCTCCACGCTGAGTCATTTGCCGTACGAGTGCGTGAGGTCGCATGCAGTGTGCTGGCCGTGTTGGGTGCGCAGCAACCCGGCATGAGCCGTTGGCATGCAGTGCAGTATCATGGCACCAAACGAGCGATATTGCATTTGTGGCCTGCCTTGAGCAATAGACAACGCGCAGATGACACCGGCTTGGTCAGACTGACAAAGTCGGCCGTCCGAACGTCGGGAGGGGATGGCGACGGGTTCGGGGACGTCTCGGTCAGTGAGTAAGAGCCTGCCCGATTTGGCAACGCTTCACATCAGCCTTGGGTGATCACCACTGAACTGAATGCCAGTTGAGAGAACGAGAATATACTTTCACATAGATTGTGAGCGCAAGTCCACATGAACAAATGACCTGAAAATGGATCCCTTCGATGAAACTTCAAATCAAGATACGAGGCGAAGGAAGATGCTGATCAAGAAAGACAAATCATCTTGCTTTTCTGATGACATGAAAACATTGTAGCGATCTAATCTTATGATGGGATCATCCATAGCCGATCGATTCTACGATTACCTCTCTGCTCTCAACCATGTCGGCATATCGCTTTCGCGACGATATAAAAGCCAGGTTCGAGAGGGGATGAAGGGCAAAAGCAAACCTACCTCACTCATCCCAATATCTACATCCCACCCTCAACCCATCGACTCATGTCTTCTTACTCCTCCTTCGCAGTCATCGGTGCTGGCACTCTCGGTGGACCCATCCTGGCTGCCCTCGCTGCCCAACCCTCGTCGAAAGTCATACTTCTCTCTCGCAGCACGTCAAAGACGGTCCCTGCGAATGTACAGGTCGCTCAAGTCCCGTCGTACGACGACGTCCCTGCTGTCACCGCCGTACTCAAGGCGCACAACGTCGACGTGATCGTATCCACGCTGACGTCGACGGCAATTTCTGTACAGCTGCCTCTCGTCGACGCGGCGAAACAGGCTGGCATCAAGCTGTTCGTGCCGTCCGAGTTTGGCTCCTCGACGGAGGGACACACGGAGGGTCCTTTGAGCGAGAAGAACAAGATCATCGGTGCGCCCGGCTCCTCCTCGTAATTGGGTTGCGCGCTCATGCAATCACTCGTTCAGGAAAGCTCCAGAGCGTCGGCGTGCCGTATCTCCGCATCTTTGTCAGTGCTTCTGTGCTCTGCCCTGCTTTGGATCCTGATGTAAACCTACAGAATGGGTTGTTCATCGAGTTTGCCCCCTGGGTCGTAAACTACAGTGCCGAGGCCAAGAAGCTTTATGTGGTCGGTGAATCGGAGGGTCCTGTGTCGGCCACGTCGATCGGAGACGTTGCTGGTGTGTTATCCCTGGTCGGTCATTGATCCGCAGGGCACTAATCGTTTTCTCCCAGGCTATCTCGCACATGTCCTCACCCACCAGCCTCCCTCCGCCCTCGAGAACCAAATTCTGCGTATTGAGGGCCAGCGCATCCCGGGCTACCGCTCCCTTGGGTCGCTCTTCGGTGCGCAAGTCGAGACGGTCGAGACGATGGAGGGAGAGATGGCTGGGTTCAAGACATTCCTGATGAGTCTCGCTGACCAAGGTCTCGCGACGACGGGCTGCGGTGTCAAAGGTGTGTCTGACGAAGAGGCGTCCAAGATTGGAAACGCGCTGTGGCCAGGTCACCAGTGGAAGACTGTCAAGGATGTGTTCGGTCTGTAGTCTACATGCTCCCGATGCACTTCAGACTCGAGCGTCAGAGCAAGCCCAAATTCAGGTGTTGACCGCTTGCATCATAGAAATTGACTGATTATGACTCTGAGCTGACTGCTAGATTTGTCTGATCAACAGGTGTTTGCATGTCTGGAGTTATTAGGTCTGAGAATCACATCAATCGTCATGCGTCGCCGCAACACGGTCTCGTGACCGTTGCGTGATGTCTCACCAATCGAAAGCATGAGCGGCGTGGAAATACAGTTCATTACAAAAACGGAAAACAGTGATTTCAGATCATGCTACAAGTACTGCTCGGTATCTGACCTTCCCATCTCTCAATCGTGCCATCCCTTCCTCGACGCCCTGTTTCGTCAAGGGGAACTTCTCAGTCATGGGCTTGATGTTGTTACGCGCAGCGAAGTCGAGCATCCGAGCATGCACGGAGCGAGCGGCGACGGCAGACCCCTGCACGGTGATCCCATTCTCAATGAAGGGGGTGACAGGGAACGAGAGGTTGCCGGAGCTGACGGTCAGTGGGAAGACCGTCCCCTTCGGCTTCATGACGGCAAGGTACGGAGCCCAATCTGGCACGAAGCTGGTCGTGAAAATGAGGTGGTCTAGCAAGCGCACGTTCTCAAACTTGGTCACATCCTTAGTCGCGTGGAATTCTGATGCGCCGAGTTGCATGGCCTCTTCCTTCTTGGAGTCTGAGCTTGAGAAGACGACGACTTCGGCGCCCATTTTGGCGAGGAAGAGGATCGCGAGGTGCCCAAGACCACCAATGCCGACGACGCCGACGCGGTGGGTGGGTCGGATGTTGTATGTGTCGATCACCTCAAACACAGTCGCGCCACCGCACATGAGAGGTGCAGCGTTTTCTGGGGCCATATTTGCTGGAATGCGGAATAGGAAGGACTCGTCCCAGATCTGGCGGGGGTCAATACAGTTGACAAAAGAAAGAGGATTCACGCACGGCATGGGAGCCGAACGAGCCTTGATGAAGATTGTGCTTGCCGTAGAGCTCTCGCTGCTGACAGTACTGGTCTTGGCCTGGAGAGCAAGCGAATGAGAGAGAGAAAACTATATCACGAAAGCAAACAAACCAAGGATGCACTGCTCGCAGGTCCCACACGTCTTGTGTGTGTAGCCCCAACCAACGACATCACCGACATGCACCTGTGTCACGTCAGACCCGACCGCCTCAACCACACCAACTCCCTCGTGTCCTAGACCCATATCGGCGTTCTTGAAATGTTCATCGGTGCCGCAAATGCCCGAGTGCGTGATGCGAAGGAGGACCTCTTTTCCTGTTGGTGCAGGGCGAGACGTTGTGGTTTCAACGATGCCATGCTTGGAGCCTTTGAAGACAGTGTATTCGATGCTCATGGGGACTTGAAGGTTGTGGATAATGTTAGGAGCCCCTCAGTCAGATTGGAGTCTTTATAAGTGAATCCCGGGTAAGACTTCATCCCCGCCTAGGTCTAGCACCCTTGGGGTATGAACGGCCACAGGCAGGGGATCAATGGTCTTGGCACAACGCACGGCGCGCGGCGGTGAGCAGCCGATAACAGATCATGGAAAGGGCTAGGTGGATTCCCCCAATGCGTCATCTATGATGGCGGGCTTTGAAATTTGAATAGAATTGTGATTAGATAGGACTAGATGCGATTGGGGGCACTGCCACTACTCGCGACGCAGAGGCATTGTACATGAGCATCGATCATGGGGTCCGCCACTCACCAGCGCACCACGACCTTCCGCTGAAAGGTCTTATCAATCTCGCCTGCTATGGATATTACTTCACCCGCTTGCATTGTGGCCACGTAGTTCCGGAGGCTCTGTGCACTCTACAAGCCACTTGATAACCCAGATCGAATTTGGGGGATTGGGGTCATACATCCTCCAGTCCATCCGGGTTTTTGCGGCAGTATGAGATCCTAGAGAGGTTTTGCATGATCTCGACTTGATCTTTCTCCGCCAGTGTATAGAAGTGGATACACGTATCAGTTGTTTTTCTGCTTGTGAACGGCCCTTGATAGCCGGACATGGAACGCATACATCCATGTCGTCCCGCATCGACTGCTACCTCGACTGTGATGCGCCATTCTTTTGCCCCGATCAATATCCATTACAACGACCGGCAGCCTCCTTATACAGTCTCTTCTCGTTTCTCTATCTATGCAAGATCCGGCCACAGCTTGCTTCACACGGTGTCTCGGTCGAGTGCGTGTACCGGTTGGCATCTCGTCCCGGGAACACAAGACTCACCAGCTCATCAGCTTCCATCCGGTGTTGCTCGGCGGTGTGCACCGGGCTAGCGGTGCGTGGGCTGCTGCTGCATGCGGCGGCGTCAGCGCCAGTGTTGTCATTCTCGCGCGATATCTCGGAGGCAACGAGCCGCCGCGAACGCTTCCCGCGAAGGTGGCGTATATGGAACTCGACATCGCGCGCACAGCTCGGTACCAGGGTGTCTCTGGCGTTGCGCAGCCTGCGTTCTTTCCCGCGTCTACAGTCATGGTTCGACCGTTTCATGCCGCAATGCACACCCACATAGAGTGACGATACTCACCATGCGGATCAGGCCCAGCGGATCCTATGCTACGTGAAAGCGACCTTGCCCCAACCCGCCTTCGAGCAGACCTTGCTGTCGTTCTTCCGCTCGCTCTGGGTGCTTCCGCATGCCGATATCTCGAAACCCGACGTCGTTCGAGGCGTGTTGGACAAATTGCACCTTTACTCGGAAGCACAAATCGACGCGATACTGGCGGCACCGGCCCAGAAAGAACGGAAGGACTGTCTCACGAACAATACGCGTAGAGTCGTAGAGCTCGGCGCTTTCGGAGCGCCGTGGATGTGCGTGCAGGACGGTGACCCTGATAGTGAAACCCAGGAGAAAAAGAATACTATTGCTAGATGGGGTCATAGATTATCAGGGTTGTCCAGGTGGCCAAGAAGATATCGTATCCAAGTCAGATTTCTGGTCTTCGCGATGATGGTATCTTTAATTTCACTTCTGTCTCTATATTTTTAGATCGATTCGCACAGAAAAATGTTCAGGTTCATACATGGTTCGTACCGGTTCAGGGAGGTTCAAGAAAAATTCCCTCGCCTCTGACCTAGAACCGGACTTGAAGTCCGTTTAGGTTCAAGCTGTCCCTGAGAGCCGGCCTTCAGGTTCGGTTCAACTTCCGAGCCGAACTAAAGCAACGCTGCCTTGGTTCTTTACAACGGGCACCGGGAACCGAAGGCTAGGTTAGGGCGAGTGGAGGGTCGCAACGAGCAGAACTCGAAAGACAATGCAGACAAGGGCTGTCATCACCCTCATAGCCGATTTTTTCGCAGACCAGGCGAAGCCTTAACCACTGCTGCGAGCTATTGTCTCCGTTCGCCGCCGTTCAGCGGACGCTTTGATGAGGTCCTCAACGTAATTTTTCGTGCTTCAAAACCAATCTTGATGTATCCAACATGAGCGCACGGAGCTGGAATCGAGTTGATTGCGCGCTTAGACGAAGAGATATATGCGCGTACTTTAGACAGGCTTTCATCGACCTTCTGTGACTGAGCTGAGTTGGACGCTGGATCCCCATGGAATAGAGCGGGAGGAAGAGACATACTTGAATCGGGGCCAAGATCTCTCCAGCAGGCTACCTTCGGTCCATGGTGGACGTGTTGACTCGATTCACGATATGTTATGTAAAATTAGATGGAAAGCGGCGTGAGCGCTGGGGAAGGATTGCTCTCGTCCACTGGGACCCGAGGTGCGCAAGGGTGCTAGCTCCATTGCGCCTCGAGGAATAGAATTCGGACTCAGTAGGCCAGCTTCGCACTGATTGATTCGCCGCGGCAGTGTCCGGGACGTGTATCGCCGGTGAGGTTCTGAGGAGTGAATTGGCCGCGTCGTATGCGTAGCCACGCAGCGTGAGCCGTCAACGCGCAGTGTAACGCACATTGAACCGTGCGGCGCTGCGTTCGCCGCCCGAGATGAGCGATAGGCAACGCACAGAAGATATCCGCTTGGTCAGGCAGGCGGTGTACGTCCATCGGGAATCGGGATGGGATGGGAACAAATCCCCGGACCTCTCGGTCAATGAGTAAGAGGGGCTGCTGGATTTGGTAATTGCTGCTCACATGAACAGTGGGTGATTGTCAGTGCATAGGCAATGAGAGAGCAAAATACAACTCCAAGCGAGTGTTGGGGGAGTCCAAACATGAATGAGCAGCACGGGAATTCATGTGACGGAAAATCGGGACACCAGTGCAGATCTGATCCAGTTTCGGGGAGGGTGAAGCATCTCGTCATATCGATGACATGTAAGCAGCGGCGTCCTCTGATGAGATCACCTTTACTACGCGATCGATTCCGTTGTTCGCTATCTACTCTCAACCATGCATGTCGACACGTCCACCTCGCGAGGCTATAAGAGGCGGGGCTCAAACGCAGTCAGAGGACAACAGAAACTCAAACAACTAACTTCAACAACATCTACTCATCCATACTCGATCCGTCGATGTCTCCTACATACTCCTCATTCGCAGTGATCGGTGCTGGCGCTGTCGGTGGCCCCATCCTCGCCGCCCTCGGTGCCCAGCCCTCTGCGAAAGTCATCCTTCTCTCGCGCAGCACGTCCAAGACGGTCCCTGCGAATGTCCAGGTCATCCAAATCCCGTCGTACGACAACGTGCCGGCCGTTACTGCCGCACTCAAGGCACACAGCGTCGAAGTGATCGTGTCGACGCTAAACATCGCGGCTCTTCCCGCTCAGCTCGCTGTCGTTGATGCAGCGAAGCAGGCCGGTGTCAAGCTGTTCGTGCCGTCCGAGTTTTCCTTTACGACGGAGGGAGCCACCGAGGGATCGTTGGGCGAGAAGCAAAAGACAATCGGTGCGTTCATCTCCTTGCTTCTAGGCTGCTTCCTCATGTGCGCCCTCGTGCAGATAAGCTCCAGAGCGTCGGCGTGCCCTACCTCCGCATGTTTGTCAGTGCTTCTGTGCTCTCTCCCTGCTTCGGATCCTGATGTGAATCTGCAGACCGGATTGTTCATCGAGTTTGTGCCCTGGGCCGTGAACTACAACGCGGAGGCCAAGAAGCTTTATGTGGTCGGCAAAGCGGAAGGCCCCGTCTCGGTCGTATCCAGCGCCGATATCGGTGGTGCGTGATTACGGCCCCTGTTGGGACATAGAGGGCGCTGACCACCCTGTTCTAGACTTTCTAGCACATATCTTTACCCACCAACCCGCCTCCGCGCTCGAGAACAAGGTCTTGCGCATCGAAGGTGAGCGCCTCCAGGGTTTCCGGTCCCTCGGGCCGCTCTTTGGCGCGGAGGTGGTGACTGTCAAAGCGATGGAAGGGGAGCTGGCTCACTTCAAAGATATGTTGATGGGCCTTGCTGACCAGGGTATGGCTACCACCGGCTACGGCGTCAAAGGTGTGTCCGATGAAGAGGCGTCCAAGAGCGGAAACGCGCTGTGGGCGGGACATCAGTGGAAGACTGTCAAGGATGTTTTCGGTCTCTAGTCGACGAGAAACTCCTGATAAATGGACAATTTGTGGACCATGCAATCTTACCTTTTCCCACCACGCATTGTTCTTACGTACTTGAGGCCTGGCATTAGAATACTCAGCTTGTTTCAGCGCATTGGCACCCTTCATCTCGAATAGAACTCTATTGATTCACGTTACCTGGCTTCGCTCGTCAAGATAAGTTATGTCTTCCCAACCTTCTCACGTTCCAAATGATCAGCCAATGCGGGAACCGCTTCAATCATCGCGAGGCGGTGCCGTGACCGTTGCGTGATGTCGATTCACGTCTCCCGGGCACGAGTAAGAGGATCTTTGTAAGTGTTTAGCTGCCGCCCATTTGGCCGCTCTTAAGCTTCGGTGCGCACGTCAAGACGGTCGAGATGATGGAAGGCGAGATGCCCCACTTCAAGTTGTTCCTGATGGACCTCGCCGACCGCGGCGTCGCGACCACGGGCCACGCCGTCAGAGGTGTCTCCGATGAGGAGGCGTCCCGGAGCGGGAACGCGCTGTGGGTGGGACACCGGTGGAAGACTGTCATAAATCTTTTTGGTCTCTGGTCAACAAGGGCTATCATCACTCTTCCCGCTGATTTAATTTGACGACCAGGCGAAGCTGGGATGCACTGCTGTGAGCCATCGTCTCCGTTCGCCCCCGTTCAGTGAGAGGTTTGATGAGAACCTGAACGTTATTTTCGTTGTTCAACAGTGATCTTGATGGATCCAACAGTGACTCATGAAAGCATGAAGTTGGAACCCAATGAGCGTGGGCTTAGACGAAGAGAGCAATGCACGCACTTTAGACAGGCATTCGTCGCTCAACTCGTCGACGTTCAGCGACTGAGTGTGATTGGACACCCCATCTCTTTTGAATAGAGTGGACGGAAGACACATACTTGAAACGAGGCCGAGATATCTCCCCCAGGGCTACCTTCGGTCCATGGTGCAATCTACTCTTTTCCGATACTACACTTGATGATAGCCTTCATGTTGACTCGATTCACGTTCTCTTACGTACAATTCAAAAGAAAGCAGCGTGTGCGCTGCGGACATACCGCACTTGTCCACCGGGACCCGAGTGTCGCAGGAATGCCGGCTCTATCGCGCCTGGAGGAACCGCCGTGAGCTCGCGCGAAGCAGCCCGGCTTCGCGCTGATTAATCCGCCGCGGCAGTATCCAGAACGTGTGTTCGGCGCGTCAGATGCGTAGCAACGCAACGTGAGCCGCCAGCGCGCAGTGCCACGCACATTGGGTTCAACTGTGCTACTCTGCGTTTACCGCACGGGCTGAGCGATAGGCAACGTGCAAGTGACATCCGTTTGGTAGGGCAGACTGTCCACATCCCCCGAACGTTGGGAATTGGGATGGGCTAGTAACAAATCCCGGGACCTCTCGGTGAATGAGTAAGAAGGGCTGCTTGATTTGGTAATCGCTGCTCACATGATGAGTTGGGGGATCAGCTCGTCATATCGATGACATCAAAACATCGACGGCATCTAGTAATTCTTTGATGAGATCACCTTTACCACGCGATCGATTCTGTTGTTCGCTATCCACTCTCAACCATGCATGTCGACACATCCACCTCGCGAGTTTATAACAGATAGGCTCAAAAAGTGTCAGAGCTCGACAGATACTCAAACAACTGACTGCAGCATCTACCTCCCACACTTGACCCTTCGATGTCTCCTACATACTCCTCATTCGCAGTGCTCGGTGCTGGCGCTGTCGGTGGCCCCATCCTCGCCGCCTTCGCCGCCCAGCCGTCTGCGAAAGTCATCCTCCTCTCGCGCAATGCGTCGAAGTCGGTTCCCGCGAATGTCCAGCTCGTACAAATCCCGTCGTACGATGATGTCCCAGCCGTAACCGCCGCGCTCAAGGCGCACAACGTCGAAGTGATCGTGTCCACGCTGTCCACCGTGGCTCTTCCGGCTCAGCTTTCCATCGCGGATGCAGCGAAGCAGGCCGGTGTCAAGTTGTTCGTGCCGTCGGAGTTTGGCCTTTCGACCGAGAGAGACACCGAGGGTCCGTTGGCCGAGAAGAACAGGATCATCGGTGCGCCTAGTCCCTTCTCGTAACAGGGATGCGCGCTCATGCGGTCATTCATGCAGAAAAGCTCCAGAGCGTCGGCGTGCCGTATCTCCGCATCTTTGTCAGTGCTTCTGTGCTCTCCCTTGCTTCAGATCCTGATGTGAACCCTGCAGACCGGATTGTTGATCGAGTTTGTGCCCTGGGCCGTGAACTACAACGCGGAGGCCAAGAAACTTTACGTGGTCGGTAAATCGGAGGGCCCCGTGTCGGTCGTATCCGTCGATGATGTCGGTGGTGCGTGATTATTGGCCTTTCGGGTCACAGAGGGCGCTGACAACCTTGTCCCAGGCTATCTCGCACATATCCTTACCCACCAACCAACCTCCGTCCTCGAGAACCAGATTTTGCGCATTGAAGGCGACCGCATCCCAGGCTATCGGTCCCTCGGGTCGCTCTTCGGCGCAGAGGTCGTGACGGTCGAAGCGATGGAGGGGGAACTGTCTGGTCTCAAGGATATGTTGATGGACCTTGCTGATCAGGGTCTGGCTACCACGGGCTGCGGCGTCGAAGGTGTGTCCGAAGCAGAAGCGTCCACAAGCGGCAACGCGCTATGGGCGGGACACCAGTGGAAGACGGTCAAGGATGTTTTCGGTCTCTAGTCGACGAGAAACGGATGGTTAATGGATAACTAGATGACATGTGATCTTACTTTTTTCTTAACGCGCATTGTTCCTACGTATTTGAGATCCTAGTATGAGAATAGTCTGTGTCAGCGCACTTGCACCCTGCGACTCAAATAGAACACTCTTGATAGCAATCCATTGATTCAGGTTGAAAGTCGAAGCTCCTCAAGGTATGTCCTTCGTTCCGAGTGATTAGCGTGGGAACCATTCAATTATCCACATGTCGTCGCGACACGGTTGGAAGCGGTCCCGTAATCGTTGCATGATCGTAATCAGTCGAGGGCAGGAGTAACAGGGAGCAAATAGCATAGTAAGCGCAGAAAATCAAACGAAGCATGCTCTACTCGCAGGTTCTGTATTCAATGTGTAGCCGTCGTGCATCTGACCGTCAAAAAAACTCGAGCGCCTCAATCAATTACATCACCGACATGTACTCATCGTCGAGTTAAGCCTGACTCACGGTCACTCACTCGAAGTGCGCGATAATTTCAGCTTTAACGCGCCTCGAGGGACCATGTGAGCTCGAGCTCGGAAGCCCGCCTCCGTTCTGAGGGATCAATGTGCTGCAGAAATTTCTAAGACCTGAATTTCCGATGGGACCGGGAGTGGCCTCTTGGCTCCTTTTGAGTTAGTGTGCAAGAGCTTGCCCCGATTGGAAATGGACTCGTCTCAATATTTGGTGAGCGAGAGAGCGAGATACACATCCAGGCAGATTGTGAGGGAGGTCAAAATGCAAAAAAGCTGCAAGGGAATTCGTGAGACGGGACCTGTGTTGAGTCACATGGGGAAGGAGGATATATATCATGTCCGGGAGGGCAGACTCTTTCATTCTGCTGATGACATGAAAAAACTGAAGCGAACTCATCTTGTAATGGGATCATTCATACTCGACCAATTCTGTACTGCGTAATCCTTCAATATCCACTTCCAATCATTGATATGCCCACCTCAGAATACCGTATAAAAGGCAGGCTCGAAAAAGCATGAAAACAGCAAGCCTTTCTCGCTCACGGCGATATCTGCATCCCACGCTCAACACATAAATTCATGTCTTACTCCTCGTTCGCAGTGATCGGTGCTGGCACTCTCGGTGGCCCCATCCTCGCCGCCCTCGCCGCCCAGCCCTCAGCAAAAGTCATACTCCTCTCCCGCAGCGCGTCCAAGACGGTTCCAGAGAATGTCCAGGTCGTACAAGTCCCATCGTACGAGGACGTCCCCGCCGTCGGCGACGCGCTCACAGCGCACAACGTCGAAGTGGTCGTGTCGACACTGACCACGGGGGCCATATCTACCCAGCTGTCTCTCGTCGACGCGGCGAAGCAAGCCGGCATCAAGCTGTTCGTACCGTCTGAGTTCGGCGCGTCGTCGGAGGGACAGGCGGAGGGTCCGTTGGGCGAGAAAAACAAGATCGTCGGTGCGTTCGGCCCTTCCCGTACTCCGGCTGCTCGCTCATGAATTGAATTCGCTCGTCCAGCAAAGCTCCAGAGCGCCGGCGTGCCGTATCTCCGCATCTTCGTAAGTGCTCAGCTTACACGCTCTTTTTGTGTGTGCCAGATACTGATTGAAACACTGCATTCCCAGGTAGGCTCGACCCCGCTGGGGTCGAGTCAAGTAGCCCCCGCTCGCCCCCAGGTGGGGTACGAGTGCTGTAGCCCCTCCGGGGGCGATTGGTGTCTAGCGTGGTCGAGTGGAGGTCTACATCAGTCGGCACTGATCGGATATCACTCGGACACGTCTAGCCCCCCATCTCTTCCCACCTCGATAGCTGCGCACGCGGAGAATGTGATCAAAAATTGCTTGAACCATCATGATCGGGATGACTAGCCACCGCTAGGCTCTTGTGGGCTAGATGCGGGTGATCGGAGGCGATGCCGCTAGACACACGTTGCTCACACAGGGTCTAATTGATCAGCACACGGCTCGCCTTTTATCAACCCTGCACGTGGTCCACTGGAATAGCCCCCAGGCGTCTAGACGTTTCGACCCTTCTAGACCCGGCTCGCCCGACCCTCGGCCATCACTCGGCTTTTATCGTCCCCGCGGGGTCGAGCCTACCTGGGAATGCAGTGAAAACCGACAGAACGGGTTGTTCATCGAGTACGTGTCGTGGGTCGTGAACTACAACGCGGAGGCCAAGAAGCTGTACGTGGTCGGCAACGCCGACGGGACTGTGTCGACCACATCGATCGGAGACATCGCTGGTGCGCTATCCCTCGCCGGCCACTGACCTACTCGGGGCTGACAACCTTTTTCCTCCAGGCTATCTCGCGCACGTCCTGACCCAGCACCCTCCCGCTGTCCTCGAGAACAAGATCCTGCGCATCGAAGGCGACCGCATCCCGGGCTACCGCTCCCTCGGGCCGCTCTTTGGCGCGCAAGTCGAGACGGTCGAGACGATGGAAGGCGAGATGCCCCACTTCAAGTTGTTCCTAATGGACCTCGCCGACCGGGGTGTCGCGACCACGGGTCACGGCGTCGAGGGCGTGTCCGACGAGGAGGCGTCCCGGAGTGGGAATGCCCTGTGGGCGGGCCACCGGTGGGAGACCATCAGGGATTTTTACAGCTTGTAGGTTACGGAAATCAAGCAGTGGTAGGAAAGCTGAATAGATTTGAATGCTCATGGCCATGGGCAGTTTCGGGTCGTGGGGGATTTGAGGGGCATTCAATTCTCAGAGAGGAGAGGGCTGTTTGAAAGCTGTCAAGGTTAAGGCTTAGAGCCTGTTCGGATGTCTCGAAGTGACTTCTACTTTTCTTTTGAGTTGCCTTTGGAGTAGTCGGAGAAAAAGGAACGCATTGTGTCACATCTGTAACCTAATGTGACTTTCTGTGGCCTTCAGTGTCGATCTTCTTGCACGCGCGAAGCCATGGCGGATTCCGATGGAGCTTGCCAACAAGATGGCAACAGTATTTTTGAGTGACCAGACTTGGAGGCCTGCAAGGATCATCCGCTGGCTGTTGAGACGGCGGTCAGGAGGCATAACGCGCTACAATACCGCAATACCTCGTGGTGTCGTGAGCCAAAATGAAATGTCACGCTAGATCTTTGATCGCTCGATAATCATTGATCTGACTACTCTATAAGGCAACTCAAAAGAAAAGTAGAAGTCACTTCGAGACATCCGAACAGGCTCTTATCAATTTATTATGGCGTACTACTGGCTGGATGAAATCGAACGGTTATGTATGGAAAATCTGCTCGAAAAATTACATCGAAGACCTTAAAATGACGGATAAGCTCGAAGACTTTGTCAGACCGTCATACTCTGCAACGTCCCACACAAAAAAAGGACACATCGAATGGCACCACTACTTTAGTAAATTTCACACGGACTTTTGACTTTTCTCAATATTTTTTAATGAGTCTTCATTTTCATTTTCATTTTTCTGTATTTTTATACGAAATTCGGCTTGCACACCTCACTTCATTTGCACCTGAAACTTATGGTTTTGATATAATATTTACAGCAGATTTCAAATTATTGGGCGGTTTTGATCGAGTGGTGCTGCTCATTTTTGTTGACACCTGATGTAGCATGCTTGCTACCCGCTCCACCAGGACAATAGAAGCGCAGCCTCACCTCAATTTTTTTTAAAGTTCTACTCCGAGACTAATGGGGACCAGGTCAAGGATCACTGACAGAGAGAGCTCATCCGATATTGCTTCCATGAGCTGTGGCAGCGCCGATGCTCTATTGTATGCGACCTTTACATGTTTTAACAATCTGTGGAGATCGTGGGAAGCATCAAACAATTTGGCGCATTGTGATCTGTCCCGGACCGTGTGAGTTCTTCTTGTAGATATCTATGAACTGCCCATGTAGAAAGAGATACTTGCTAGCACTTGTGTTCAATAGTGGGTCATTGAGTGATGGTCTGTTTTTGTCTCTAGACTTGAGATGTTGAGAGCGGTCACCGCACCGTGGACAGAGTGGCCTAGAGCCCGATGACGTAGAACTCACAAACAATCAGGTGTCAACAAAAACGAGCAGCACCACTTGATCAAAACCGCCCAATAATTTGAAATCTGCTGTACTATAGGTGACTGTGATCTTGGCCACCTAAGGCATCTGAGCCCTCTGGACCATGCACAAATGGACGTAGTACCTTGTAGAGTGGTTGAAACATGACCTAGGGTCTTGGGAGCAAGGTCCAACCTGCCACTCAATTTTATCATCATGCGTTCTCTCTCATGGAATATTTTCCCACGACCACTGTCAAATCAGGTCAACCGGGCTAGTTGGCCGGGCGTGGGAACATCACGTGTGCCTTGTTCCCTCGCACGACTGACACATTTTCTCGCCCACCTGTTGCTTCCAGCTGGTATTCACTATTACCCATGTACACACTTGACAATATACAAGTATTTTTTTTATGCATTTGAGGCTGTGAGGGATACATGGTGTCGGCAGGGTGCAGAGAATTGGAGCGGCGCACAGTGTTTTTGCGCTGGGTGTTGCTGGTGCTCTTGCTCGGGTTTGAGTTCATGGTGGGTCGTTTTTCAGTGTGATACGTCTTCAGCCATCTTTAAGACCTGTCCTGAGCTTTGCAGATGCACCTTGACCCATGAAGCTGACCCTGTGCACCCAAACCCAAATCTCACAAGGCCGCCAATGTGTGTAGATTAATAGAACGTCTCTGCCATTCATCATGGACATTTTTCTCATCCATGAAAGTTCCAGGGTCATTGGAGAGTCTAAAAGAAAGTGCGCCTATACCGTTTGCCTCATTTTAAGCCCACTAACCCCAGATCACATGGTGATGATGCTCGTCATTGGCGGCGACACCTCAGTTACCACCGCCATCACCCGGTTGCACCCCTGCGGGGGTCCTACTGGGTACCCTCAGACGTAGCTCTGAGGGTACCTAACAGGTACCCCCCTGCGGGGCCCGCGGGGGGATTTGGTCCATTTGGGGGCGGGGGCATATGCGGGGGTCAGCAGGGGGGGTGAACGAAAATATATACATGTGACTTGTCTACATCTGTAAGAGCGGGTAGCTGGGCGGGAAAAAAAATCAATCACGTGGAAGCACCGAGCGGGCGGGATGGCGGGCGAAAAAAGCACGTGACAGATGGAACCAAAAATTTTAAAACGCTGGCGGGGGCTGGCGGGGGTGCGGGCGGGGTCATTACCGACCCCCCGCATGCCACGGCGGGTGGTGGGCGCATATTCACGTGACTTCATCCCGGCCATTTTGCCACCATTTGGTCGGGTTTTTGCATGCTCTCCACGATGGCGCACAATGCAGCGGATGGCGGCCAAAACGGTCACGTGACTGGGCACAAAAAAAAACCAAATGGCTGCCGGAAAAAATTCCGATGCTATCCCAATTGTGTCTAGCTTCAATAATTAAGAAAGTGAAGCGCTGAGCGCAAAATGCCCGCCGCACTGCGGTAATGATGGGAATGTTCCCATCATTTTGCGGGGTCACCCGTGCGGTTGATCAGTTCCATGTTTAACCACCACTCATGCTACGGTGATGCCGCCTTCTTTGACAAATCACTCATGTATTTTCTCATGAAGGTCCTCCTTGGCTCTTTATCCCAGGATGCCCCCCAAACAGCCACCACCAAGAAAGCAGACAGTAAGACTTTGAGGGCAAAGCCTTCGACCCACCAGTCCAGTAAAGGGACGGCACAAGCTCCGAAACGTGCTGACAATCCCCATGGGCCGTAACGCTTGTGAAAATCGTCTTGCTCAAAAGATGAATTCCCTGCTTGACCCAGAGCCACCAGAATCGGTGGCACAGGCCTCTGGACTCGGGAAAGAGCAAAATACAATGCTTAAAGATCAAATGGAAGTGGATGAAACCAATATGACGGGCGAAGATGTGTGGGAAGACATGGCGTCAGATGCAGGGCCTGCCGCGGGGCCCGCCGCGGGGTCTGCCGCGGGGTCTGCCGCGGGGTTGGGTGTGGGGGCTGGACTGCCGCCATACATTCCAGAGATTCTTGTAAGGCCCCATGGTCTTCAAAGGAAACCACGTGCTACACAAGCCTCTTCTGTCTGGATCCATCTCATTCCTGACCTTGCCCTCTCTCTCCTGGCATTTCGGAAATCATCTTTTGCATGCCCACCCACATCTCTTGCTGCAACCATCTATCAAAACTGTGACAACCCTTCCTGTACCCAAAATAAAATTCGGGTTCTATGTCTCCACATTGCACGTATGTTTCGAATTTCTTCTTGCCAGATCTTGTCTGACAAATTACCAGATTTTCAACATATCGATGTGCAAGCATGTTCTTGTGTTTCACCTGCCACTGTCCTACTGGAACATGGTGCTCTCGCCACCTCACCTAGCAAGCCACAGATTGCTGTTGCAGTGAATACATTGGAAATATACCAAGCGTTATTTGAACGCTCCTGCATTGCGATTCAAGCATTCACCAATGCCCTGACAACCCTCTATAACACCAGAGGATTCGAGCTCATGTCCAAGACCGTAAGTTGCTTCTTTCCACCTGCTTTTCGCAATAAACATCTGATATACACCCTAGTTTGATAGCGAACATGCTACTGATCCTCTACGACAAGCCCTCTCCCAGGCTGTGCATGTGTACAGCAGCATCCAGCGGCATATCCGAAAAATGGTCAATGATGCCTTGGCCATGGAATATAGTCAAATCAACACCAGATTATCTTCCACGGTGTGACAATCAACCCAAAAACAAAGTCGAAAAGAGAAGTGAATTCGAAGACTGGAGAATACAACTAGATAGCTACAGTATTTATACCCAAATCCAGTCTGAGTCATATCTACAACTAATGAGTCATAAGACTATGTACCGCATGGAACGCTGGTCATGGGTTGTAGTAGAATCTTCCGGAGCATATGTCGTGCAGCCTCGAATCGATAGAGATAACCCCTGGAACCCCTAGCCCGGACTGTCTGATGCCGTGATCCGTGATAAGATAAGTCGTGCCAAGATAAGATAAGATCGTCGATGATAAGATGAAAAAGTGGTCGAACTATGACATTACCCCCTCTCTAGGGTCGATGTCCTCATTGACTAGGCCAATGGGCGTGAAGACGTTCTCGTAGGGGTCGAAGAGTTGTCGTTCGGGATATGGAAGGCGCTCGTCCCTGGGCTTGTAACGATGAATGAGATAGTCCCAGTGTCCAGCTTTGAGCGTTGGCAGGAGGCGAATGCGTGTGTCTGGATTTGATTGTTTCCTCTGCCAGTCTCTCAGGACGTCCTTTGCGTGGGTAAGGTGACGTGATGGTTCCCAGGTGTTCTCGCTGTGCGGCCATCCCTTCCATTTGACCAAGTACTGTTTTCCTCGGCCGACTTTTCGTTCTTTCACGATTTCTTCGACTTCCCACTCCTCTGCTCCTCCGATCATCTTGGCTACGGGTCTCTTCTCTCGGCGATGGGGGGTGGTTCATGATAAGGTGTCAATAGTGACTCGTTGAACACCGGGTGTCTTCGGTCCGTGTCCGGCAAATCCAGCTTCCATGCGGCCGCTCCAACCTTCTCCAGTATCTTGTATGGTCCCAATCTCTTGTCGCTCATCTTCTTTGATGGTCTATCCGTCTCGATATTTTCCCCTTCTATGTACACCTTCATCCCAACCTTCAACTCCGGAACTTCTTTTCTTTGTTTATCGTAGTATTTTTTCATTTTTTCTTTTGCTTTTTCCAATGCTGCTTTTGCTTCGTCTTGTATTTCTTTGATTCTTTTTACAAATTCCTCCGCCGACTCGTTCCTTGATTCCATCCTTTGCTCCACTCCCTTCCATGGGTGATATCCGTGATTTGCATAGAACGGCGACATCTTGGTAGACGTGTTCATTTTGTCATTGTATGCGAACTCCGCCATTCCCAGCCACTCCGACCAATCTGTCTGATGGTAGTTGACGTAAATGCGGAGATAGTGTTCGATCTCCTGATTCATGCGTTCGGTTTGTCCATCCGTGATCGGGTGATATGCGGTCCCCGGGTTCATTTCCACGCCCAACATCCGATTTGTCTCCTTCATGAAGCCCTTGATGTAACGCGAGTCCCTGTCGGTGATGATCTTGCGAGGGATCCCATGGTAGCGGAAGACTCGGTCCCTGGTTAGCCGTGCGACTCCTTCACTGCTGATCTCAGTACTAATTGGTTCGACATGGATCATTTTGGTGAAGGTGTCACACCACACATGGATTGCATCATACCCGTTACTGACCGGCAAGGGTCCAATTTGATCCATCGAGATGATTTCCCACGGTGCGTTTGGAACTGCATGCGGGTGTAGAGTCCCTGTCCTTGCTCTTCTGGTCTTGGTCCGTTGGCACGCTTCGCACGTCTGGATGTATTTCCGAATTTGGTTTCCCATCCTGGGCCACCAGTAGTTCCTTTCCACCATCTCCTGCGTTCGGTTGATCCCAGCGTGTCCGACCAAAGGGGTGTCGTGGTGTAATCCGATGATCTTGTCCCGTAACTCCTCGTCTCTTGGTACATAGAGCTTCCCATGATACGTGATAAGCCCTTCTTCCTTCTTCCATCCGACGAGTGACTTCTCCAAGGCCGCCTTGACGCTTCCATCAATTGATCGAATGGCCTTGATTTCATCGATTAGCTGCTGATCCTGTCCCTCGAATGTGACTTCTTGTGATCGGAAGAACTCGGGCTTCAGTAGCGTGACGTCCTTGTTGTCGTTCTTGCCCTGATCGTGATCTGCTCGTCGGGACAGGAGGTCCGCCTTGCGGTTGAGTGCACCGGGTCGGTGTCGTAAGGTGAAATCAAACTCCGCCAGCTCCGTGATCCATTGTGCTTGTCGTCGATTGAGCTTCTGCGGCTTTCGGAAGTACTCGAGATTCTGATGATCAGTGAAGATCTCGAATGTTTCCGTGGCTCCCAGGAGCAGCTGCCTCCATTCATCGAGTGATAACATGATCGCAAGCATTTCCTTGTCGTAGATCTCGTAATTTCGCTCGGTTTCGGTCAATGCGTGTGAAATAAATGCGATTGGGCGCCAAATGCCGTCTTGGTTTTGGCTCAAAACTGCTCCTGTTGCCCCTTCCGAAGCATCGGCTTCCAGACGATATTGGCCAGTGTCATTTGGCAGTGCTAGGACCGCATCCTCTGCGATTCTCTTCTTCAACCCGTCAAATGCTGCACGCTCATCTGCACCCCATGCCCATCCTGCCTTCCCCGTCAGCCGTGTCAATGGTTTGGCAATTTCCGCATATCCCCGAACAAAGCGTCGATAGAAGTTGGTGAACCCTAGGAAGGCTTGGACCTGTTTGACGCTCTTTGGTTCTGGCCATTCCATCACGCCCTTGATCTTGACAGGGTCCATCCGCATCGAATTGTGTCCAATAATCACACCCAAGTATTCGATTTCCGTGCGTTCGAACTCGCACTTTTTGGGTTTCAGGTACAGCTTGTGTTTTTGGAGCAGTTCGAGTACTTGTTTTGTGATCCGCCGATGTTCGTCCAAGTTCTCTGTGAAGATCAGTATATCATCAAGATAGACTACCACGTGGCCCTCGTTGATCAGTTCTCGGAGTATGTCATTCATCATGTTTTGGAAGGTTGCCGGGGAGTTTGTGAGACCGAAGAACATGACCAAGGGCTCATACAGTCCGCGGTTCGTGCGGAACGCAGCCTTCCACTCGTCGCCCTCTTTGATCCGTACGTTATTGTATCCCCACCGGATGTCGAGCTTGGTGAAGAACTTTGCACCGCATAGATTATGGACCAGTTCGGAGATCAGCGGCAGCGGGTACCGATTTCGGATTGTCATCTCGTTCAACTTCCGATAATCTTGGACGGGCCGTAGCGAGCCATCCTTCTTCTTGACAAAGAAGAACGCTGATGCCATGGGTGATTTGGAAGGCCTGATCCGTCCGCTGGCCAGGTTCTCTTGTAAGAACTCGTCGAGTTTGACCTGTTCGTTTCGTGATAACGGGTACACCTTGCAGTCCACTGCTTTGGAACCGGGTTTGAGCTCGATTGCATGGTCCCATGCCCGTCGGTCTGGCAGCGAGTCGAACGATTCCTTGGCGAATACTTTGACAAATTCCCGATATTGATCTGGAATCTTCCCCTCGGTCATTCTCTCCTTCTCTTTTTCCGCTTCTTCTGCGAATTTCTGCGCCGGCGTTTCCTTCAACCGTAGATCCACCTCCTTCCCAAAGTCGATCAACAGGATTGACTCTCCCTCTTCCAGATCCGGTGCACCTGCGTCCAGGTCAATTGCATCCATGTCGATCATTGCTTGATGCTCCTCGTGACCCCTCATGTGACACCGCTCTGGGCATTGACTGAACCTCATCGTCTGCGCCTGCCAATCCACCTCGGGGTTGTGTTCCGTCAGCCAATCAAGACCGAGGAAGATCCGAGCTTTCCCTAAACACGTCAGAAGGAACGTGCGTGTCTCCACGTGAGGACCGATTCTCATCCTTAGGTCGACGTAATGCGTGATCCGACCGCTGATGTTCTCGGTGTTGTCGGCGTTACGAGCCACAATGGGTTGGGGAAGTTCTTGGATATCCAGCTTCTCTGCCCGCGCGTAGTCGGTATCAATGCAGCAGGTGCTACAGCCACTATCGAGTAGCGCCTTGACTCCGCGCGTCTTTCCTGAGTCCAGGCCCGTGATCTGTACATACACATCCATCGAATGTCTCTTCCTTTCGGCCTGGTAGTTGCGCAGTTCCTGCGCCAGTCTGCTGGGTTGCGGGCCCTTCTGTCTCTCGGCTGCCCATTTCCTTTGAACAGCATCTGGCACCCTTGTGCGTTTGGGTGCTTCTGGAACCCTGATTTCGGCAGATTCCTTGGGCGCTTCCTCCTTTTTCAAGGATTGAGCCTCCGGAGCGATGCTCCCCTTTTTGGTCTTTGTTGACGTGGTTCCTTCTCCACAAGCCATAAATACGTAGGAGTCCAAAATTAATTTATCTGCAGCTTTCTGATCCTTTTTACTCTGTAAATACTCTCTATTTAAAGCTATTTTCTTTTGACGTTTTTTTTCCATATCAGCGACAAGAAAATCATGAATATTAGTACGTAGGGAGTCTGAGATCGTGTATGTATGAGGAGAATCGTTCATATCTCTAATTGAAACAAGTACAGAAAAACGTCCATAGTCCGGACGCTCCACCTCCTTGGCTAGAGGAGTGGAGCGCTTCAAAAACCCTTCTCACGCAGCTTCTCGGCAATCTCCTTGAGGAACTCGTTGTCCTTGTCCCCGTTCTCGATTTCTTCCAGCATCGTGGCCCGATTGAAGAATGTGCGCTTCTTCCTTGGCTCCGGACAGTTCCGCGCAATGTGCCCAGGCTGCTGACAGTTGTAGCAGATGATATTGCGGCCGCGGGCGTGGGTGCGATCGATTTCCATCGGAACTGGTTCGTTGGCAGCGGGTCGGGCCGGGGCGGGTGCAGGTGTCATTGGGGCTACCTGCGGGCGGAATTGGGGAGGCGGTCGTGGTGCGGATTGCGCATGCGATGCTTTGCGCAGCTGATCGCGTAGAGCGTTTGCCTCGATGTTGACACACCAGTTCTTGAAGGCACCATATGCCTTGGGCAGGGGGACGCCAGTGTTGTAGAGGCGGCTTGCAATTTCGCTGCTGAGCCTGCGCTCAAGAAACTCGATGAGGATATTGTCCTGTTCCCCCTTCTTGTACTCGCCCTTGCTGTCGGTGGAGGTGACCACGTTGTACCCCGCGTCTGCAGCCAGCATTTAGAAGTCGGAGATGTAGTCCGCAAAGGACCGTCTGCCCTGGCGAAGGGCCATGAGTCGGGCGGCAGCGACTTGCTCTGCGTTGGAATCCCCAAAGGCCCTCTGAAGCTCCTCCAAGAAGCTTGTCGCGGTGACTCCCGCCTTTAGTCCTTGGAAGCCCTCGAAATTGTGCTGCTTCCAGTTCATCGCCCATCTTGAGGCGGCGCAGCTTGTGCCGCTCTCATTGCGGAGGTAGGACAGGACGAAGAAGATTTTTGTCTCGTCCAGCGAGAACTCTGACCAATAGGCACCGATGTAAGTGGTGCACGCATCCACAAAGCCCAGGTACTTGGACTTGTCGCCATCGAAGTAGGGGGGATTGGCGGCGAGGGTGATGCGGTGATGCCCTGACATGGTAGGGGCAGGCGTTGAAATGCTGAGGGCGTGCTCACTAGTGAATCTACTATGAAAGTAAACCCAAATATAAACACGTTCACACTCCTCGTAATCAGCTTCTCAGTGTGTGAAAGATGCGAGGGCTTCGGGGCGGACAGAGCACCAGAATCACAACTCTCAATAGACGCAGATCCAATAGTCGCGGAGACGGAGTCGACGACAAGAATATATATATAGCAAACAATGGTGTCTCAACCAATATCTTCTATACGACCACAACCAACACTAATCCAATCCACAACAACAATATAACAAGTCAGAGCTTAATCCGAAGTATTAAGATCCCTTGTAGCGACAGCGTCCAGATGGTGACGCAAAGCCTAAATATCAAGTCGACGCACTGCCAACTGATACAACCAATATACTGAGTCGACGCACTGCCAACTAGTAGAACCAAAATGTCAAGTCGACGCACTGCCAACTGGTAGAACCAAAATGTCAAGTCGACGCACTGCCAACTGACACAACCAAAAGTACTGAGTCGACGCACTGCCAACTAGTAAACCAAAAGTACTGAGTCGACGCACTGCCAACTAGTAAACCAAAATGCCGCGTCGACGCACTGCCAACCGATACAACCAATATCCAATGTCCAAAACCCGAGCACAACTTGTCGACGCACTGCCAAGCAAGAAGTGTGGAACCAAAGTTCTCAAGTCGACGCACTGCCAACTGACCAAAACAACCCGAGCACAACTAGTCGACGCACTGCCAAGCTAGAGGTGTGGAACGATCTCAACAAAGCCCGAAGGCGACGACACTAAATGCCGCGACTAAACCAGATGCGGCGAATCCGACTTTCTGATGTCTCAACTCAAACTCAAATCACAGTAGCTACAAGTGCTCAGGGAGCAACTCGTCGCGACCGGGCAGGGGTAGCAGAACTTCTTAGGGTGGAATCACGCGGCACGCAAATTGTACAAAACAATCTGAAATGAGAGTGATTCACAGTCCGGGGGAAAGCTTTTTTAATACAAAGAGACGACGTGCTACTTATACTGTCTACGACGCTGCTTAGTAAAGTCCTGTACAACTGCATAGTAGCTACGCTATCTAAGATCGGTTGCCTTTTAGGGTAATTGAAAAGTTGAACGATCGGACAGGTCCTGAGTGATCAGGACCCCGCCCCATTGTCCATATGATACTTTTGATGTGGGTCAACCCACCGCGTCATACTTTTGGAATACGACGTGTTGGATTGGCCAACGGGTATGTCTTGGCAAGTGAGACCAACGTGGGCGCCCCAAGAAGCCGTATGGCCCTAGGCACACCAGTCGTCCCCCACATGGTTCGGTTCACGGATCTAGCCGTGTCGGTTTCTAGTGTGTTTGGGTATGGACGCGACTCGCCGTGACACTTGGAAGTGTCACCGCGACGCGTCCACAATGTCCCGTGATCGAATGGATCCTGACATGTGACAAGTCGTCGTCGTGGCATGATCTGAGGAAACGTCCAACTCAAAACCGGGAGTTGCCGCGACAAGATGGTTTAAGTCTCGTAACGCCAAGTCCTGTCCAGTGGTAGTTCTATTATTGAGAACGTCGCGCATTGCTCAGCCCTTCAGCCCAAGTTCCCATCTGCAGAGAATGACCCTTTTCGAGAAGTCGACGCAACGACAGATCCCTTTTTGGGGAATGATCGCGGTCCAAGCGTTCGTCACTAATGGCCCTGAGCCTGGTGTAGACCCATAAGACCAGTTCCACAGTAGTGGTCTGACTGCCTTGCTATCGTCGACACTATCCACAGTCGTCGACTGGGCAGTAGACCCTTAAGTCCTACTGAGCGCAACACTGTCAACCGCGACACGATACACCGAATGGTTCAAGAGTAAACTCTGTAAAAAGCGCAAAAATACGCCCTTACAGAGCTGGTGCAGAGCGCGTCTGGTAGCCAGCCTATCATCTCCCAGGAACACTAATTTTGACCTCCTGGTCAATCCCGCGACAGTCTCACTGCGTCAGGTCTAAGTCCAACAGTCGACGTCTCATTCAGTTATTATTAAAGCCGCGGAGACATAGAGTTATGTTCCCACGTCTTATTCATTTGGTTGTTCGGTTCCTTCCGTGATCTGCCGCGATCAAACTTCTTCCGGCATGTTCACCATATAAATGCCCTCAATTTTCAGGGTCGAGAGTCTCCCTAGTACGAGACACTCTTGCTTTTCGACCACCATGTCCGCGCCCGACCAGAGCCCCCGCCCCCAAGACAACAACCGTGAGTGACGCCCAGGACGATTACCGCGACTTTTCAACCACGCTAACCGTCCATCAGCCGTCACCGAATCAGCTGTCCCGGGAGCAAACCCGCCTGCCATCGACTGGCGGCAGTTCATGCCGTTAGTCAATGTCTCTCTCATGGCTTGTCGATCCAACTCACCACCTGCCTAGCCCTGAGGCCTACAACATGATGTTGCGGCAGATGGCCGTCGACGTCCGCCAGATCCAGCAGGTGACCTCCGTTCTAAGCCCGCTGGAGCGAGCAGTCACGGCGATCAATGATTGCCGCGCCTGTTCGCTTTGGCCTTCCTTCTTTTCACTCACGTAAGGACTAGCCGGCGTCTACGCCCTTGACCACCAACGCTCCAGTCGAGGAGTCGTCGCCGCCCAAGAAACGCAAACGAGTCGTCGAACCCGTACGTGTAATCTGTTTCATTTGTTCACTATGTTCTGATCGACCCCCAGGCGGCTCCAACCGAACAAGTCGCCGCCCCTTCGTCGTCCCGGCCTGCCAAGCAGAAGGGGAAGGGTGACGGCTCCAAGCCGCAGGCCCCTGCCGCCGTCGCGGGCAGCAAGGTCGCCGTCGCCAAGAAGTCGAGCGAGAAGCCGCAGGGGAAGCGGCCCAAGGCGACTCCTGCAAAGGAGCCCAAGGCATCGTCGCATGCGCCTACTCGTAAGTGGCCTTTTCATTTGGTTCACCGAAGTCGCGGGCACTGATCTATTGTAGCCGCTACTCCGGTCCCTGTTTCACAGGAGGCACCCCCCAAGCGCGTCTCCAAGAAAACGCACGCAGGTGTGTGCACCCTATGTCTTATTTCTTTGATCCTGAGACTAACCACTTGGTCCCTCCCAGCCCGGATCCAAGCACAGCCCGTGCAACCCGAGTCCCTCAGCGATGAGGAAGCCGCCGCCGTCGCCGACACTGCGATGGATGTCGACGACGAGGGGGTCCAGGAGGGAGACGCGTCATCGGCCGACGAGCTGGCCCTTCAGGTAAGTGACCCAGTTCGTCGATCGCGATTCTTCGTCTCATGGTTGGTTTGTTTTTGACAGGGGCCCAAGTCCAAGGGGAAAGCGCGATCGAATTTGAGTGCGTTCTTCCTCTTGCCCCCTCTGTCAATTACTCACACTTTCGTAGCCCCGTCCGTCATCGTCATGGACGACACTTCCGAAAGTGGGGAGGAGACCGGTAACTTCGTTGTGGCCAAGAAGCAGGTCAGCGAGACCCGCGTCAAGCCCAAGGTAAGCCGGCTCCTTTTTCCCAGACCACGCCCCTTAATCCAGCTTTTTTAGCCAATCAAGAAGGTCGCGGATGGATCATCCAAGTCGACCAAGTCCGTGCCTCCCCATCCGGTGCCGAAGGTGGAGGCCAGTCGCAAGGCGAGCGCCCCGCGAGCGACGACTACCCCGACCCCAGTGGCTAAGGTGAGACACAGATCTTGGTTCCCAGACGTCGACTAACTCGTTTTTCTTTCTTTTCTAGGTTGCCCAGGCGGCCCCCGCCGCTACCAAGACTCCACGCAGTGAGTTGGGCAGGGTGGCCGCGACCCTTGGTCGCGAGCGGAGTGTTGCGGCGGCCAAGGCCGAGCTCAAGGCTCAGAAGGCAGAAAAGTCCGTTGCGGCGGCCAAGAAGAAATCTGACTCGGTGAGTCGCGACTTTTTCTTGTCGTCGACTTTTAGTCGTCGACTTTTTACTGACTTGACTGTTTCTAGACTCCTGCGAAGGCGTCGGCCCCCACGCCCCGAGCTCCGTTCACTCCCGCCGCCTACGACACCGAGGCGCTCCTTTCGGTGGCACGCCAAGGTTTCGCGGGGAAGTTGGAAAGGGCCGGCGTCGAGGTGCCAACTGACTTCGTGCGTTCCTCTATCTTTTTCTGCCATGCCTCGACGACTGACTTCCTTTTTCATAGGAGGTCGCGCCAAGGCCCTGCGCGATGTGCGTGACGCGGCAGCGCGTCTGCTTCAAGAGCGTCGACGGGCGCCACGGCAATCGGTGCGCCCCGTGCGTGCTCTATAAACAGACTTGCACCAACGGCTACAAGCCCGCGGAGCAGCTGTATATGGGGCAACGCTTCGGGTACATCGCGCAGATGAGCGCGGACGGTAAGAGTCCACTCTTATCATTCATTTCTATTTTTGATCGTTTCTGACGACGTCTTCAGATCTCAACAAGTCCGCCAACCGTCTCGCCGACACCTTGGACGCGTACGGCGGGCTTCTTCGCACGGCCAACGAGATCCGCGTCCTGGCCATTGGCCAGTTCCGCGATTTCGTTGGTCAGCTGAAGGAGCATTTCGACGACGGCTCGGACGAACGCATCAAGGCGATGTTCGTCCACACCGCGACCGAGATCGACGCCGCCGAGATGGCCGACATCCGCAAGGGTGTCCAGATGATCTTGGCCCACGGGGACTTGTTGGATGGCGAGGCGAACGAGCAGTTCACGGCACCCCCTGCCTTCTTCGATCCGTTTTTCTATCGCGAGATGGAAAAGATGGAGAAGCAGTTCCAGAGGGAGATCGAGAAGGCCCAGGAATTCGACAAGTCGGACCCCGCGACCATCCAGGATCAAGCCTTCCAGCCCCTCAAGGACCACGAGATCGACGTCGCGCACTTGGCGAGTAGTCGCACCCGTGCGCCCTCCTCGTCGCCCCAGCCTTCGCCATCGCCGCCTCCTGTTGCGTCGTCGTCCCAAGCCGTTTTGCAGGTCTTGGATTTTTCCGACAACTACAGCGAGACCTC